TATATTTGTTAACTTTTCTGCATTTATTGTGCAAATTGTAGTTCTTTGTAATGTTTCTTTTTGAAATCTTTAAGTTAATATTTTAGTTTTTTGTTATGTTGCTTTGAATGCATACTTTATATTTGACTTTCTTCAGTAATGCTTTATTCTGGATGTTTTATTTGATGCTTTAATGCAGGTTGTAAATTGCTTTGAGGTTTTTTTCCTTAAAGATATGAAGCAGTATAGAATTATTAATACTAATAATACTAATACTAATGATAGCAAACTCGTTCTCCAAGTGGGGATCGTCAGGAATCCAAATTAGCTCCATCCATGCACAAGAGAATGAGCATTCTTAGCAGAAGTGGGGAAATCCCAAGATCTGCAGAAATACAAAGACTCTGTAGGGGGAAACTCCCCCCCCCAAAAAAAAACCAGACCATATAGAATGTTTAGTAGTCACGGACTGCTGACTGGTTGAGTGGGGCACAAGGGCAGAAAACTGGAGAGGGCAAAATCAATGGAGTATTCTGGGAAAGGGCATGTGCTGCCTGGTTTGAATGCTGAACAGGAGCACCGCACACTGCAGTGTTTTGTCCAGGCACATATTTTGGTATGAGCGGCAGAATATCCCACAGGCACCTCTCCCTTGGCTATAAAGAAATACAATTATAATAAATTAAACAGTTGGCTGCCCTTTCATGATGCCCCAAATGACTTGCCGGAGGTGACAGCCTCACTCTGCCTCATATTAAGGCCAGCCAGTTAGAAACATTTTTAAATAGACAATTGCTTATATGATTTGTGCAATCTTTCCCGAGGCCGCAGTCCAGGGTGGTACATCAACCTATTTAAATCAATCTACATCTCTGCCTTCAGCCCTGCTGGGATGTTTTGCATTTTGTTGGCCTCCTCTCACCTCTTAGGTTGCATTCTGGACTCCTGTAACCTCCAACACATGCGGAAGGGAAGAGGAAGAGGAAGAGGAAGGGAAGGAAGAGGATGGAGAGAAGAAAGGAATGGAGCAGAATAGCTGTGATTAATGAAAGTCAGAGGCAAGTAAGGGACAATTTAAGGAAAACTGAGGCACAAAGACCTGGCTAAATTCATCTGGAGAGGTAAAAAACCAAGAATAAAATTTAAATTATTAACAGAAATTAGAGACAGAGGTGGTTTTGCAGTCCCAGATCTTAAACTATATTATGAAGCAACAAGCTTCATTTGGCTCAAAGAATGGAAAACATTAAAAAACACTAAAATATTAGACATAGAGGGGTGGGATAACATCTTTGGATGGCACAGCTATTTGGAACATAATAAAGTGAAAAACCACAGAGGGCTCCTTAATCATATAGTAAGGAAGGCCCTATACAAGGTTTGGGAAAGATACAAAACACTTTTAGAGCCCCAAACTCCATGGTGGCTTTCACCAGTGGAGGTAATTTCCATCCACAAGAAAAATATGGATAATAATTGGCCAGTGTATAAAGATTTATTGGAAGAACAAAATGATCAATTAAAATGGAAAAAAATATGAAGAACTTAAAAGGCTAGGAATTACCCAGCTACAATACCATCAAATAAATGCAATTTTTGAAAAAGATAAAAAAAAATGGATTTGAAAACAAAATTTCAGCGCTAGATAAGGAACTGTTACAAGATAATAAGAAGATATTATCAAAAATGTACTAAAAATCATTGAAAATAATGAAACATTGTTTGTGGTGACGATGATGAAGAAGATGATTTTAAGCTCAAGAGCATTCATCAGTATTTTAGAGTGGGTTTCTCCTAATATACACATTTGCACACAACTTTTGCTTCAGACACAGACATTTTCTTTTATATAATGCATTTATTTTGGTGTGCTATTTTCATGTACAGTGGTACCTTGGTTTAAGAACAGCTTAGTTTATGAACAACTTGGATTAAGAACACTGCAAACCCAGAAGTAGGTGTTTTGGTTTATGAACTTTGCCTTGAAAGCAGAACATGTTCCGCTTCCTGTTGAGTGAGATCCATTTGTAAATTGAGTCCCCCGCTGCTACGGGAAAGCACGCCTTGGTTTAAGAACACTTTGGTTTAAGAACGGACTTCTGGAATGAATTAAGTTCATAAACCAAGGTACCACTGTACTTATGAATTTTAATGCACACTTTACCACAGTACACATTACTCCACTGGAAAACTGCATTGCATAATTCAGAGTAGCATGAATTTCAAAGGATGGCTGCATTTTGGTTCTCAGTACAGTGGTACCTCGGGTTAAGTACTTAATTCGTTCTAGAGGTCCGTTCTTAACCTGAAAATGTTCTTAACCTGAAGCACCACTTTAACTAATGGGGCCTCCTGCTGCTGCCACGCCGCCGGAGCACGATTTCTGTTCTCATCCTGAAGCAAAGTTCTTAACCTGAAGCACTATTTCTGGGTTAGCAGAGTCTGTAACCTGAAGCGTATGTAACCTGAGATACCACTGTATTGCTTCAGAAGTGTGCATTAAGGTAGAGTTGCCTTTAAATGTGGGCTGAATTGAATGTTTATCCCAAGGAGAGGGAACAGGACACTACATGCAAAGAAGAAACAAGATTTTCTTAGAACTCCTTGGGATCATTCTGATGAACATGACAGCTGGGGTGTTGTGCTTGTCCCCTGAAGGGCAATGGGGGGAAGCTAGCAAAAATCTTCCGCATTTTTTGTTTTCCTACAAACATATCCTAATTCTCTTGCTGAGTCACACTCCCGCCTTTTGATCACAGCCACACACACAAAATAAAAATATTTTGCTTGTCACTTGACAGAAGCGAACCACCTCTGTATTAACATCTTGCCGAGCAGCCTTCACTAAGAACCTCTTGCCATCTCTGCAGTAGCTTTCCCTTGCACTGAATGCTGATGAAATGCTTGATTTAAAAGAAGAAAGAAATAAAATATTGATTTTTTAAAAAACTTGCCAACCTAATTTGTGTTCTGCATACTTTGCTAGGTTCCATGCTTCAGATCTGGGCAACCTTCCTGGAGAGCAGTACTTGCAAGTAGTGGGCAAGAGTAGATGGGGCAACAAATGCAAATTTTGTGGGGGACTGAATCCAACAATACATATTCTTGCTGGTTAGTAAGTTTACATAGACATAGACATAGAAAATGTAATTGGTAGAGAGGGTTCTGTGTGATATCATTTCCGCTTCTTTCCTGGGCAAAGCGCATATGTAATTTCCTGCTTCTCTCTCTCTCTCTGTCTGTCTGTCTGTCTGACTGACTGACTAGCCATAGGGGCAGACATGTCCTGTGTTGCTCCAGTCCCAGTCCCAAGCCTGAGACTGTTTTTTTTTTTACTGTAAATATAAGTATTTTACCTGCATAGCTTTTACTGCTGCTATAGCTAAGAACCAATACAAGACAACTGAGTAAGTAAACTATATTTTAAGCTTACTTTCCAGTCTGTTGTCTGCTTCCTTTGCTAAGTGGGGTAAAATGAGACACTGAAGTCAGTCTGCTTTGCAGCTGGACCCTGTGGTTTCATTCAGAAACATTACTGCCTCTGACTATCGAGGCAGAGCATAACTGTCATGGCTAGTAACTGATGTTAGCTTTATCCTCCATGAACTTATCCAGTCCTCTTTTAAGCCACCCAAGTTGGTGGCCTCAGCACAACACAGGCCAGTCCTGTTTTACAGTTGCCCCTTCTCCAAGAAAAGTGGAGTGAAACCAGTCTCTTCCAAAGCTTAAGAACATAAGTCAGGAGAAAGGCACATCTAGTGCACCATCCTGTTCTCACAGTGGTCAATGAGATGCAGCAATGGGAAGCCAACAAGCAGGTCCTGAGTGCTGTTAATAACCATTTCCCCCAGATAATAGATGGTGCATAGCTGAACTGCTAAGGGAGCAGGCAGCATCCCTGCAACAGTCTGACATCCAACAGATGTACCACTTAGTACAGTCTTCGTTGGACTATACCACCTTAGCAAGCAGATGAGGGTGGTGTGGCATTTCAAGTTGACTCAGATCCTTGCTGTGAAAAGATGGCGTATGAATATTTCCATCCTATGCTTTCTGCTGAGCTGACAACTTTCTATATTCAGTCCTGTCCTCTGAGGGCTATACCACAGAAATGTAACCTTCCTAAATATGTCATTCAACTTTAAGACTCTGCTTTTAAGTCTGTGATTCAGTCAAAGAATTCTATTCTCCAGGCAGGGATCAGAAAGCTTGATGGATTCTGCAGGGGCATAAAACATGAATTCTGTGGAAGGAAATATTACTGGCATTTGTAAAACCTTTACTTAGTATTTACCAAGCCATCTAAAGCAAATGAATCGAAAAGAACTCACTCATGACTCTAACATGATGTGTGAGAAATAATCTTGGATTGTCTCAAATGTGAAAGGGGATGATTAAATGTTCATCAGAGTCCCATTGAAATTCAATCCATCTTTGCAACAGGATTCGTACATCAGGTGCCAAATAACAAGAGCCTTCCTATCCAAACTTGGAAATACTAAGAGATAAATGTGTGGGTGATGGCAGAATTCTATTAATCTTTCTTGGAATATTGATCTTAAAAGATATATAGAAGTGGAATTATTTTGCATGCTTTAATGTATGGGGAAGCACCACAGCTCAGGGCTAGAGCATCTGCTTTGCATGCAGAAGGTGCCAGGTGCCATCTCTAGATGGGGCTGGGAGAGACCCCAGTCTGAAACCATAACCAGCCACTGCCAATCAGTGTAGAGCAGGAGTGGGGAACCTCTGGCCTGTGGGCCAAATGTAGACCAGTAGGATACACAATTTGGCTCAAAAGGCCATTTTTGAAAAGCCACGCATACCTGATGTCAGGAGTGGGGCAGGTATCAATGTGGCTTCAAAGGAACATTCAGGAGCTTTAAGTGTCAAAACTGGCCCAGAACGTACATACAGAACTGAGCCATGGGGAGAAAGAGTTTCCCCATCCCTGGTGTAAACAGTACTGATCTAGATACATCAGTGGTTCAACTTGGCACTTTCTTAAGTTTCCAGTTGGGGAAGTGATGCATCTCAGTGGTAGAGCACTTTCCTTGCATGTAGAAGATCCCAGGTTCAATCCCTGGCATCTTCAGGTAGGCCTGGGAAGGAGCACCTGCCTGAAACCCTGGAGAGCCACTGACAGTCAGTGTAGACTATACTGAGCTAGGTGGACCAAATGGCCTGAATCCATATAGGGTAGCTTCATATGTTCCTACCTCAGTGGGCAAGAGCCATAGCTCAGTGGGAGAGTGCCTGCTTTACATGCAGATGACCCTAGATCTGAAAACTGGAGAGCACTGCCAGTCAGTGTAGACAATATGGAGCTAGAGGGATCATTGGTCTGATTTGGTATAAAACGGCTTCCTATGTTCCTGTGACTGATTGTTATGAAAGAAGGCACAAATTTTGCATCTATTTCACTACTGAATAATTTCCACTAAGAAATATACCTACAACATGTGAGGAATAATTTATGAATTGCACCTAAATGGATTTGCTTCTGGCAAAGCTTTCCCATCGACCTGTTCTGTTGGTGTGGTCCCTTCTCTTTTATTGCTTGAGTATAGGGTTGCCATACGTCTGGAATTTCCCGGACGTACCCGCAATACGGCATTTGAAAACAGTGTCAGGGCAGAAATCTCTTAAATGTCCAGGAAAAGCTGGATGTATGACAACCCCTGTTGGAAGTCTAGATTTTGGCAAATTTCCTTAAAAATAGTCAAAAAATGTATTATTATTTTTTGAGATATTGCAAACAACAAACAAACACACACACAACTAAACAACTTTGGGCAAAAGTAAAAAAAAAAGCTCAAAAACTCCCCCCCCCCAATTCACTTTTTGAAATATGGCAACCCTATAGAAGGATAGCACTAGAACTAGCCTGTTGTGGAAAGGTAATTTTTTAAATTTGTTGCTCCATACACTGCAAGAATATATGCCATGGAAACATTCTTGAACATATTTTACCTGCTGAGTTGCAGATGTGATTTGGCATTTAGATCAAAGGTTCCTATAGTGGGCACTTGCATACCTGGGGGGTGGGAATGCAGTGGGAATACCTAAGGGAATGTTAAGAGGCAAGCGGGTGGCAGTAGTGCTGGAGTGCTGGAGGTGCAAATGGCTGTCAGGCTTAGAAAAGCTGATATCACTAGATCACGTTCACCAGTTTTGTCGAACTAGTTAATTAAACTAAGTATTAACTGGATTTTTAATAGTGTGCAGTTAATTGTTACTGTATTGAATGTTATTGTGTTGTTATCTTCTGTACTGGGTTGTGCAAACCACTTTTTATAGGGTAGGTGGCAACAACTTTGGCCCCAAAAGTACAAAGACACAACTGCTGCTGAGGTTGCAAAGATGGGGTAGATACTGTTGCTTTATGGGAGGTCATTCTTCACACACTGAAACAGGAAAAATCTATGCCTGACCATGGAACAGTCCAATGTACTAATGGTGAACTCTTTTTCCTTATGCAGCCAAGGCAACTGTAACATCCATGCTCAAGAGAGAGGTCCTGGATAGATAAGGGGAACGGCAAAGTTTGCAAAGGCTAGGAAAAGAGGAAATTCATGCTTGTATTTAAGTATGTATGGACACCTCAGAACCACAAGCAGTTCATTTTTCTTAAGGGTCAGCTCAGTTTTACCCAACTTGGCACCTTTCTTGATGTTTTGGACTATAACTCCCATCAGCCCCAACTGACAAGACTGACAGGATCTATAGTCCAAAATGTCAAGGGCTCCAGGTTAGGGAAGATGTCAGTTCATTGCTTTCCTATTAGGGGATGCTGCCTTGATGTGTCCTAAAGCTAGCTGCAGAATATAGGAAGGCAACGTTAAGGCCACCCCAAATGCTAAATTAAATTAAAATGTGGATGCCAGTCATAAAATAGTGTGAGCATGCCCCCTTGCCACCGCCCCCATCAATGGGGGAAAGGGACCTCCACCAACCACCTCCACACTTGCTCCTAGGGAGAAGCTCTTTGCACCTCTCCTCTGTTCAGAATGAAAGGGAGGAAGGGTGCCTAGTCCTGGCACCCAAGGAAATATTGGTGTGTTCAACACAGGAGAGGCTGAGCAAGTACAAAAATGAGCTGAGCAGGAGCAGCATCTCTTATGCACTGTGTATTTTTGAATGGGTATTTACTGAGACCATTCACAGGTGCCATAGGAGACACTGGTGGGCCCACCAGTGCCTTCAGGAATCATGTTGGCTACCCCCGGCATATAGCATACTATACAGAAGGGCTCCAGTGCTCACTGCCCACCTTCTCTGGTCTTTGCATCACCCACCTTTTTCTCGTCCCCTTCTTGCAGAAGTTGGAGGTGGCTCCTTTTCTCACTGTCCTTGTGCAGAGAACTGCTCTGGTGTTGGGGCAGGCCAGTTGGTGGAGAGACGCTCCGCCCCTGGGGGTCCACCCAGGTATAGATGTGGTTGGTAACATAGCCTCCAGGGATCCGCCCCACCGAGTGGACAGAGAGGTTCAGCTTCTTTGAGCCCTTGAGTGCCTGGAAACATTGAGGAAGAAATGGACACCAAGGTCCTCAATGAGACAGGAGGCAATTTAAGGAAAGCAGAACTCCAATACCAATCAGGGGTCAAGCCCAGTTCTAGGAATGCTAAAAGTCTGCAGTTCAACCCCAGGAATCTCCATTAACAGAAAAACCTACAGTAAGGGTGGGGAGCCTGCACCCCTCCAGACTAGGTTAGACTCTAACTCCAATGATCATTAACAAGCACAGTCAGTGTCAGGGATGATGGGAGTTGTAGTCCCAAAACATCTGGAGGGCCATAGGTTCCCAAGCACTCATGTATATCCTACTGGAGTAGATGAATCAGGGAGTGGCTTGCAGAAGCTTCAGACGTTCATATAGCCTTAGGAGGAATCATAGATCTGAAACAGAATCCTTGCTTTGAGTTCAGAAAGCCTCGGGGTCAGTTCCCATAATTTCCAATTGAAAGGATCTCAAAAAGTGAGGGCAAAGACTTAATTTTACCCTCTTATGGTATTTACATATTATATTCGAGTAAGTACATTCAAATCAACAGGAGGTCTATCAGAACTGGGCAAGGAAAATGGCCCTGCTTCCACAGAGATTCTTCTATTCTCACAACCATTTCCCCAACACCCTTCCATTAGGGTTGTGCACCTGAACTGATATGAGGCCCAGACCCGCCCCCTTAGCCCAGGCAGGACTATCCCAGGGAACTTCCAACACAGGTCTGGCACTGAATTAACTGAGGGAACATGTATACGCAGCATAGCTCCTTCTTCCCATCCAGTCCCCCATTCCTTGACAGCCCCCAATTTTTCTGGGGGGTCCAGACTCACTTGGGATGACCCATGGCTACCTCCACCCAACTCACCAAGCCTGTTTCTACCCAAATCAGCCCATTTCAGTTTGGTGGTTTAGGCAAATTAGATATACAGTCCTAATTTTTAAAATGCTAGCCTCTATTTATGCTATGCTCATATGTTTGAGGTTCCAGTGCTGTCTCTAAACCTAAACTAAAGCCAGGTCGCACTGCCCTAGAACTTTTTGCTGCTTGGGGAAGCACACAATGCTATGTTCAGTTGGTGGGGGCTGGGTTGGGGGAGATGCAAATCTTTATCTAGTTACAGGAAGTACTCTTTTCTTTGATGCCTGTTTCCTGGGACTGCTGCCTGACTACTTTCATTGTTCCATTCTCAACAGAACACTTAACCAGGATTCTAAATGCACTGCAATCATTTCTGAATCAATGAGACTTATCAGTCAGCAAAGGATGCATTTAAGGACATAATTAGGAATTCTAATGAAAGGGACTCAAGATGGCTGGGTATTGGCAAGACTGTACCCCTGCCCTCCCTGGTAGAAAGCTTTTTTTTTTTTTAAATGACGTTCTTTTGCAAATATTCTTCTTCTTCTTAAAAAATGCTGTCCTCCACAAGGGCATCATAACCATCTTCAGATTGCACCTGCAAATGCACAGAGGCCTCCTTCGCACATAGCGCTAATGACGTGAGTGAGGAAGTGAGCTGCTTTAGAGGGAAGAAATTGTGGCTGCTCATTCCTCTCCTGCGTCTGCTGCATTACTGGGAGCTAACGTGACATCTGAACCACAATTCCCTGTTTGTCTCCCTCAGACAAAACATAGGGGGTAAGCCAAGAACAGACCTTGGTTACAGCTTGTGGTTTGTCTGAAGTGAGAGAAACCACAAACCTGGGTTCAGATTTAACACTGGGATAGGGTTGCCACCTATACATCATTTTCATATAATTTTCTATCAAGGTATAACATGCAGTAAATTTTAAATCTACTTTCCAAAGTCTCCCCCATGCAATCATTTCTTTGTTGTGCCCTAGATCTTTGGCCCAATGTATCACTGCTGACTTCACCATCTCATCTTTTGTTTCCCATTCTAACAGCAGTTTCTACAATTTCGATATTAGTTTATCGTTATGTTCCAACAACCTCATTTCAAAGTCAGACCTTTGTCATTAAAACTGGTGAACACATCTTTTTAAACAATTTTAAACAATATGATGGTATTGCAACCAGCTTGTCATGTAATTCTGTATTTCGTCCTATTTTTTTAGTTTCCGTCTACCTCCCACAGAGATACGTATATCTTTATAGGTACCTCAACCCACCTGGATATTGGTGGTTTTGTTGTTGTTTGAGCACTTGCCTCTATAGGAGAACGCCATAATAGAGTTTTCCTTTCTAATAATTTTTTTGTACCTGGATCAAACTCCTGAAATACTTCTCTGAATACAATGGTCCACAAATTCCTTATTTACCCTTAACTTTTTCATACCAAAGATACGCATGCCATCTGTATCGTCTTCCAAATCCTTACATACCCTTCCAAATCGAACAGTCTTGCAATTTTTAAAGATATCCACTCTTTTGGCCATATAAAACAGGCTGCTTCATATTACAGTTTTAAATCTGGTAGCGAGAACTTCCCTTTTCCTTTAAGGACTGTTAATATTATAAATTTAATCCTCGGTTATCCCCTTGCCAGATAAAATCAGATATCTCCTTTTGCCATTGTTTGAAGCAGCTCATATTACCAATAATCAGTATAATTTGAAATAAAAA